ATTATATAATTTCCTAGAATTCCATAAAATAAATTTGTGTCAATAGTCAAGGTTCGAATCCTTTAAAATTCTTGAATTTATTGTTTAGGGGTGGTTCACTTATGACGTCAAAAATTACGGAATTCTAACAATCTCTGTTGTTCTTTTATTGCTGACCCCCCCCTCATGAACGTCATATGTGAAAGGGCCCTTTTAAGATTGCTTTACTTTGATAATTTTCAATTTTAAAAATTACTTCGAATCAAATTTTTGAAAACTTCCATTTTTTTTAAATCCTCAAAGCATAAACATCCTTACATGTTTTGCTTCAAACAAAAATCCATGAATAAGAGAGATTATAATCCAGATGATAGGATTATTTAGCTTGAAAATGGCATCATATGATAATCGGATGCTGATAAGACAAAGTGTAATTTACGAATTTAAAACATTTACTTTAATGGATTTCTCCATTTTACAGTTATTGCTGCCTACGGCTTTATTTTTTATGTAAAAGGTTTCTTTTCAATAACACTAAAATTTAACAATTTGATTGTCATCGTGAATGAGCGGGAAAAAAGGCAGCATGAAAAAAATGAGACATAAAAGTCAAGTTTCAAATGACAATGAGATGAGAAAAAGAATTGAAGCTCGACTCATAAATAGGAGGTTGGCACATTCATAAAAAAATGACATCATTGATGTTACATAAGAGGTGAAAAGCTCATAAATTATTATTCATTCAACATAAACTTTTGTTTTTGTGTCTCTTTTTGTTGCTTGCTCTTCTCTCTGTTCATGAACTTTATTCAAATGTTTAAATGGAACATTTTTTTATGGAAATTTTGAACTTATCGATTTTTTTCTTTTGTGCTCTATGAGTTGGGAGAAAATGAGCATTTTGCACAATTTTAGTAGGATTGGGAATTTTAATGATTTTTTTTTATGATTTGAGGAGGTGGGGGGGGGGGGGGGAGGGCTTTGTGAGGCTTAGAAGAGAAACCTTCTTTTTGGACAAACTTCTTTTTTAATAACCTCAAAAATATTTTTCTCAAGAATTTCACTCATTTTTTCTCAAAATTCACTCAAAAAAATACTCTAAGCTGCTTATTTCATCATCTTCTAGCAACAGAGTCTTACATCGAATAAATAACAAATAACCTAAATGTCTAACATTTCAAATATCTCACAGCATTCTAATTTCCTGAAAATTCATTCTCATTAAGCATCTCCGAAATAATTGAATTAAATTTTCATTTACATTTTGATTATAAATTACTTCTCGGAAATTCTTCTCATCCGAAACTCAAAACAATCAATTTAAGCTTTCAAAAATTTATTTGAAGGAAGCTTGCCAAATTCGGAACATGCAAAAGAAAGAAACTTTACCTTAATCAATAATTTTTTTAAATGCTGAATAAATAAAGCGAATCCATCGAAATTAAATTCTCTGAATATATCGATTTTTGTTCCATTAAGCACATAAAAAAAAATTATTTCAATTTTATCTCCATCAGCATTAATGTCGTGAGCGATAGGAAGGTAATGTTTTGAATATTGCAAGACAATTTAAAATTTATGAGGTTCGCAATATTGAAGAATATTTTATTTTTGTTGCTGCTGCCTTTAACAAATTCCTTTTTGCTATCAAAACAATGTTGCTTGCTTGTAGGAGCTTAGCTCAGTTTTTTAAAAAATGGATGTTAGCATTGTCTGTCAGTCTGTTTAACGGTGCAACAACGGTCATTTTTCAAAAAGACTCTAAATAGACTTAGAGGCCGTTCTATTATGACGTCCAAAATTAACAGTCATTTTTCAAAACAAGAAAGGATTTCCAGGAATTTTTATTGCTCGTTTCTAGTTGATCCTATTCTGAACGTCATAAGTGAATGGCCCCTTACTACAGCCCCATTGTCATACGCTCCTAAAAAGCTTATGTAGGAGAATCTGTCGAAATTGAAGTTCCAATAATTAATTAACATAGCAAAATCAATGAAAAAGTGCTATTTCGATTCCCACAATTCTAATTAAGCAAAAGAATGGAACTATGTATTTCATGTATTTTTTTTTAATCCACAGAAACTGCGCTTCCATTACTTCACCGATTCATACCTTTTCTTCAACATAGGTTTCAAATGAATGGAAATTGAGTGAAAAAGAAGAAGCAGTGCAGTAAAAACCGGAAAAACATGAACACATCAAATTATCATAAAAAATATGAAAAACCCCAAAACGCCAATAAAAATTTCTAATAAATAAAAAACAACGCAAAATGAAAATTCCTTAAATAAATGAGATTATTTTCCACAAGAGCTTCTGCAAAGTCTTCAATAAAGTTTATCTGCTTCGGTTGAGCCTTTATTTTCGATTTTTTATGGTGAATTATCTTATTTATGCTAGTTGGAGGATGAAAACTGTTGCTGATATTGGAAAAAGGTGGGTATCTAATTTGGGATGATGGAAATTTTTAAAGGTAAAATTGACTTTCTGACGTAATAAGCTTAACTCAATTTTTAGGATCTTACTGACTTGTAATAAATTTTATTGACTTTTTCAGCTTGGGGATTTTAGTTTTAGAGCTTTAAATGATGAGTTTAGGATTATATCACTTTTTTATATTAGACAATTTTTGATTAAGGTTTGCAGCTTTTAAAGCTTTCAAATATAAAGAAAGACGATGAAAACTTGCTTGCTCACATTTTTTGAAAACTAGAAACAAAAATTCATTGCAGAATTCATTCCAGAACGCTAGAAATCTAAACCAGAAAACGCGAGGTGATAGTTCCATGAAAAAATGACTTGAGCAATCCAATGTCAATGATTAAATTTTGTCCACGCAATATTCTTTAATTTTGATGTCGAAAGCTTTAAAATCCAAATAATCAGCTGCCATAATGTCTACAAGAATAATTCTCTATCCAATAAACACATCTCATCTAACTCAAAGCATTATCACTTCCATTTTCTATTACCAAAAACCAAAGCGTCCGAAAATTCAATACCATACAAGCTGATAAGATTATCGCAAATCTCTGCTCCACACATCTTAATGACATTTTTTTCAATCTCTGTGTCTCTAAAAAAATTTTCATCTTCCATTTTGCATACATTAAGCTTTTAAAAGCTTTTGCTGTGTTGGGGGATTTTTAAGCATGGAACAGTCTAGTTGCCTAACTTTTTTTGGTCTCGGATGATTTTTTTTAAATTTTTTCTATCTGCATGTCAATTGAGTGAGAAAAGAAATCATCAGAAGGAATTTTGTGGAAGGAAAAGAGTGTTTGAAAAGTTGAATAAAATTTTAAGGAACTATTGAATTTTGAATTTATAAAACCGTTGAAATTTGAAATTTTCAAACCGATGAAATTTAAGTTCTTAAAATCGTTAATATTTGAATGTTTTAAGACAATTAATATTTGAATTTTTCAAGACCGTTAATATTTGAATTTTTCAAGACCGTTAATATATGAATGTTTTAAGGCCGTTAAAATTTGAACGTTTGATATTTGAATTTCCCAAAATCGTAAAAATTTTAAATTAACAAAGTCGTTAAAATTTGAAATTTACAAACCGATAAAATTTATTTTTTTTAAAAAAAGTTTTGAATTTTTCAAAACTATTGAAGTTTTAATTTAAAAACTAAATTAATTATTGACATTCAAACGTTGATGGTAGCCCATAATCATAAAGTTCCTTAACCTCAAATTGCTCTCATGTAAAATCTAAAGCAACCCAACCCCAAAGGCATTAATATTCGGTCTAAAAAGTAAAACACTATTAAAACTTTCAAACCATTTTTGTATGCTGAGAAAATTTTCAATTTGCTACCCAAAAAAATGTTGATGACCTGTGATCATTAAGAATCCCTTCAATTTACAGAAAAAAAACTAAAGTTGTTCCCAAGAAAAGAAAATTAATGAAAAGGATTTCGAACTCATTTCCATATTCAAGCCACAAGAAGACATGAAAACTTTTACAAAAATTCTAATGAAAAAAATTATTATGGAAACTAAAATTTGTATTATTTATAGCTCATAATTTATTGTGCGTGAACACAAAAAGCGATAAAAGCCTTTAAAATCTTCTCACTACCTTTCCTGTGATTAACGACAATGAATAATCACAAAGAAATTATGGCTTGCCTCAAAGTTTTGGACACTTTCGTGTTGAGTTGATTATTGTTGGAAAATGTATATTATTTTTGTGGGAAAAAAGGAAATGTTTTTTGAATTTGATGAGAAAATCGATGGATGATTTTGGTTGCTTTTTTGATTAGGGGTAGTTCATAAATGCCGTCTAACGTTTAGGAGGAGGGGATCCTGAGTTTTGTCGTGGTTTAAATCCCAAGTTTCCATCTCTTTGCTCATTCAATTATTTTCACTATAAATATTGACACGTTTTTTCCACTTCAATGAATTTTTTTCTCACTCTGAATAAACATCAATGAAATTACAAATGAAACTAGGTTAAGTTGACACTATCACATTTCATATGCTTTCATTTACATTACCTTACTCGGTTTCATTGAGTGAAAAATCAGTGAATTAATAAATGTGTGAGTTAAGTTTTTAATAAACTATGTCTTTACCAAACTAAGGACTGTTCAAGGGGTCAAGGTGGGGGGGAGTCTTTTTTTTTCGCTCAATAAGTGAACTGCTCCTAGTAAAGTTTACGATTTAAAAAGACTTCCATCAAAGAACAAGTTGCATAATAAATGTAAAATGTATAAAATTCATTCAAAAACTGAAGGTTCAATTCCTTCAATCATAAATTTATGTTGTGTTGTGTTGATTCATTTTTTTTAAATTTTTTAAAACTCGCCATTCAGCATGACAATAAAAACCACCCCAAAAAAGTTTCAGCGCCTCCAACCAAATTGAATTTGAAAAGAAATTTCTCAAGTTTGGGATGAGAAAATCATCCAATTATTTAACGAAGGTCATGAATTCGTCGTCGTCATTGACATGAAGAACATCTTCATCATACCTTTTAAGAGAAAAAATAAAAATATAGGAATGACTCACCGATTACTTTTCGTTGGCGGTGTTGCGTACGGAACGGCCAGAAATGCCTCAACAGGTTTGAGGAATTTAAAGTTGTCAAGTGGCAGTACGATGCCTTGAAGTCGTCCGAAACGTGTCTGTACAATTCGCGTGCCAAGACGTACATTCTTATAGATATCCGCATGAGCTGCACTCGTTACTTTCGAAAGAATATTTAGGATTATGATAAGATTATACACAACTAGTGACAATTTCATAAACATGATTGATTTTGCTGCCTTTTTGAGCTTCCAAATGATTTAGATCCAAAATTATGATAACTTTTTCTTGTGTTCTTATTGCCTAATCTCCACCTAGTTGCTCATTTTCTTCCTCCTCATTTGACATTGATTTGTATACATTTACATATACACAGCAAAATTGCCTAGGCTTGATGAAGTTTCTAGAATAGAAGAAAATAAGAAAAGAAAAAATTCAATTAAAATTTTATTAAAACCATTGATTAGGTTAAATTTTCATGTCACATCCCACACATTCAACCTGCTTTGTATTCAATTAATAATATCTTGTTCCTAGCCTCATTCTTCTTCGTGTCTATATCATGCCTTTTATGAGAATAAATTTAATGAATAGATTTTATTGAAATTTATGTTTTTTCAGTAAGTTTATTGTTCCTTGCTTATGCTTTTGTATTAATCATGGTAGAATATTCAAGCTAGTTGTGCTAGCTTTGATGTTTTCTTACTATTAAGTAGATTGCCTGACTAAGTAAAGCATGAAGAAGGCTCAGCCTTTTTGAGTCATCAAAAAAAGTTCCAACTTTTTTTTAAAGGCACACAAAGATGTAAAAGATTTTTAAAAAATTTCCATTAAAGCTTAAATTCCTTAATTTATTGTGGATCTTTCTGTGCAAAATTTACTTCCAAAAATGAGACAAGAAAAGTTTGTTTTATCTGCTTTCATTGTTAAGCCAAAGGATTCACATCGCATCTCACAGATATAAACAGACATAAACTTTAAAACAATAAGAAGCAAGCTGAATACCCAAAATATTAACGCACATAAATAAAGAAGATAAAAAAAAATAATAATTTTAATCTTTGTGGCTCACAAAATTTCATTAAAATTTATTTGTGTTTCAAACTAAATGGAAGTTAAGGACGGAATGTAGTGTTTGGTTGTTTAAAGAAGCGGATTTCAGAATAAAATAAAAATTGAATTATACTGATGAGTATATATTGACAGCTTTGTAACTTAACAATATGACAATTTATCAAATTCAGTACACATGTGTACTTAGTTCTTGGTTCGAATCCTTAAATCAATTTAATCTTATGTGTCTCTTATAATGTTTTATTTTTTTTCCTCTCAACTACAGAAAAAAATCGCTAAACTTAACCTTTTTACCTCAATTTACAAAACTACACGAAATAAATATATCAGCTTACACCAGTGATGCTCAACCCATGTGCCGCGGAGCCCTAGTGTGCCTCAAAAAAATTCAGGAAATCCAATCATCCTGGCTTACTATCAAGATGTGCCGTGGAATAAAATAGGTTGCCCACCACTGCCTTATACAAAGAATCTTCCAAAAGGTTGAAAAAATTACAAAAGTCCTCGTGTTATTGATCAAGGGACTTCAGCGCATTTTTGACGAAGCGATCAGTATTTGATTATCTAATTATTTTACGTTCATTTACAGATCATTCTAATGCTTAATAAATAATTTAAAATTTTCCCGCTAAAAGTTGCACCACAAAAACATTAATTATAGTATAATTAATAATTTGCTGCAATGAATTTCCATATAGAACTAGTGTATCGGGTAGAAACCCAATGCGGATTATATTCACACCGTACCATCAAAAGTCTTATGGATAGACCAAGAATTTCCCAGCATAAGCATAATATACGAACATTCTTTGAAAGGTTTTTCAAAATTTTTTTTTTCATCCAAAGTTTAATTTTATAAAAATCACAGTCAACTATTGTTTAAAAAAATTCGTAAGAAAAGAAAGTTTTTTGCTTTTTCTGAAGCAACGGCTGATCCTACCTTGCCAAAAAACAATCCAGCTCTTCTATAGAGCAGCACGGATCAAATGTAAAAAACTAGAAGTCTATACGATGTCTCGTTATTGAGAATTTCTGCCGATTAACTTGCTTGCTTGTTTGCTTACAGAAAGCGTATTTTGCGATTTTCTCAGCAATGCCGCAACGATTTGAAATCTGTTTATTGCAAATGAACATTTTATAAACAATTTTGCTTCGTTTTCTCACAAAATGCGAAAAACTAATTTTTCAATCTGAACAGAACCAATAGATTCACACGTGAAAACGGTGTGAATATAAAAAGTTTATCATTTAACGGTTTTTTGAAATTCAAATTTTAGAACGGCTAGAAATTTTTTGAAGTTATAGAGGTAATGTTGAAATTATAGAGGTAATGTTGAAATTATAGAGGTAAAATAAAATTTGAGCAGGTTACACTGAAAACAAAACAAAAATTCATTAATTATAGCATAAATACGCTGTTTCAAGACTTTTAACTGTTCGATCGGACAATAAACAATAGTAACGGAGCTAATAAAACAAACCTGAGCTCTCTACGATGTCTGGTTAAAAAGTTTTTATGCTTACCCAGCCGAGCAAACGAACGAACGAACAAAGTGCATTATTAAGCTTCCTTTTCGAAAACAAGTTTTCAAAAATGCGCTAAAAAGGTGAACAAAAAGAAATTTTCTTATCACGATTTGAAAAATTAAAAACGACTTAATTCCTTTGTCGTGTACTTAATTACACAAACAAATACGCAAATAATAATTTGACGCTATTTATAACGAATGGGGAATATTTGAATGAGGAAATAATTTTCAGGCTTGTGTGTCATTAAATTTACATTTATTCATTATGATAATGTAAAGCTTACTGTTTGCAAGAAACTTTCATGTCTCGAAGGCTTTTCGTCTAAAAGACTTTAAACTTTTGTCATTATTGTGATTAGATAGAGGAAGGAAAACTTATGCGAGTGTATGTGAAAGCATTTATGTGGTTGATGTAAGTGAATATAGAACATTAGCATAATGTCAAGGAAATTTTCGATGTTTATGATCCTTACGGGAATTCCGGGTGGATTCTGCTTGAAGATTTTAAAAATATTTTAAAAAATAAAAAAAAAATTATTTTAGGAAAACTTTTAAAGTCCCTCTAAAATCTCATTGACATCAAACCCAAAAACACTCCCAAGGAACCAATAACAGCCTTTAACGCAACCATGAACGAGTCATGTTAATGATAAAGTAAAAGTAACAATGAAGGAACATAATCATTAACCTGTCGATGCGTATACATTTTACACACATGGTGTATTTTTATGGATTCAATGTAGCACACTCCGGGGCTTCCACGAACTCTTAATTCATTTATACGTATTATTAAGTCAGAAACAAAATTTTCAACAGCTTGCAACATGTTAATTTATCTCGATTCGAAAAATTAATTAATAAAGTTTTTGATATGAATTTTATTGAAAATATTAACAGGAATTGTCACAATTAATTAGAATAAAATTGCTTTTCGATTGTGTTTTGGATGGAATTTAAATTTATTTTAAGGGTAAAAATAGTTTTCGATGGTTTTAATAAAGGGATGTGGCTTTTGGGGAAATAATGAGGATGATTAATGCGACTGACATGTCATTATGTAGAATTGATATTCAATCATTTTAATGAGGTGGAGTTTTCAATTGCTTTAATATATAAATTATAATTTTGAGGAAATTAAGTTGATTATTTGTAGTTTAGTAATTGATTTTAGAATTTTGAGATTAACTGCATTTAAATTAATATTTAATTTTGGAGACATGAGTTCATATTACAAAAATACTAAAAACAAAATGGCGGATTTTTCTCACTTCGAGAAGAATTTTTTGAATAATTTGAAAATTAAAGTTAATATCAATACAGAAACATTTTTAAATCATGTAAAAAAGTGGCACAAATTTGTTTTGGGTGTTGATCATAAGTTACGTCCTTTATTTAGCGAGAAATGTGGAATCTGAGTGGTAAATTCTTTAAAATGCTTACAGGAGATGTGTATGAGCCTTTACTAACCCTTTTATAAGATGATTCTATGATTTGCGAGAGTTTTTACCTTGCTCCTCTTAACGACCACTTTTTGGCCATGACGAGGTTACAAAACTCTTTAGTTAACCCCTTAGGCTCGTTCACTTATTACTTTCTGCAAAACTACTACATTTTAAACCTTTGTCTCCATTGTTACAAATTTTGCTTTATTTTCTTTTCTTTGAGCTACTATAAAATCCTACACCCCTCCCCCACCCTACTTAAAAAGCGAACGTCATAAGTGAACGGTCCACTTTACAACTTTACTAGTTTATATAAAATTTGTAATATTAGATCTCCTGCTCACGGTGTATTATTCAAATTTCTAACCTTAAATTTATCCCATACCTCACATCTACACCCACATAACACACAAACAGACACACTCAAATGTGCAATAAAATTAGTTGATGTCAAAAAGTTGTCAGCTCATTGAATTACGAACAGTATTTTTTTTTGTTCTCGGTGAACCAAATTTGTGGAAATGCATCGAGAGATCACCTCCCATTTCACATAATGAAAGCTTCTAACAAATCATCAGAATTGAATTGAAATGCAAAAGCTTTGACATTAAATGAGGAAAAATAAAAAAAAAAATTCACAGCATAATTTGAATATTTTATGGACGAGAATTAATTTAATGCTAATGAGAAAAATTTTATTTTTCGTCTATTTTTATGCCTGTGTTGAACGGCACACACACAATTTTCTCTCTCATCATTAATTTTATATTTTTGTTAATAAATTAAATTTGCATGGCTGAAATAGTTTTATGTAGGAAGTTCTTTCCGCTGTTTTTTTTGAATAAAATTAACTCAATTTTCAGTCACGACTAAATGAAATATTTTTTATTTTGAGTTGTTAAAATTATTCATTAATGGATGACATGGGAGGTGTCTGAAAATTGAAATTGAAAATTTTCATTTTTGGGACTCAGCGATGATGAATTTTTGATGATTATTTTGAAAGTTTTGGTCATTTAAAATAATTGGTAGAATGTTTAATTAGGTACGTGAAGGTATTAAGTTTGAAAAAACAAAATGGCGGGTATATCACTCGTCTGTATGTAAATTCAAAGTAAATTTTAAAGCCTGTTTTGTATGTTTTTCTGGCTGTACATAAATCTATTTGTCTCTCTGGCTGTCTATGCATCTGGCTGCTTGTTTTTCTGGTTGTTTGTGTATCTGGCTGTATGTGCATCTGCCTGCCTGTATTTGGTATTTGGTTGTTTGTGTATCTGGCTGTATGTGCATCTGACAGCCTATGTATCTGGTTGTTTGTGTATCTAGCTGTGTGTGTATCTAGCTGTGTGTGTATCTGGCTGTGTGTGTATCTGGCTGTGTGTGTATCTGGCTGTGTGTGTATCT